TTTTAATGTTATATGATTTTTTTTCTTCTGGTTTTGAGGTTTGGACCTGGTCTTCTAATCCGTTGCTTCTTAATTTGTCTATTATTAAAATGTTGCAGAAAATAGTTGCTTGGCGGCCTGAGGATGAGTTTGAACTCAAGAGTATCTTTAAGAGCAAAGGCTCAAAGCGCCTCTCAGAGATTCTGATGGATGCAAGGAAGAAACAAGAACGTCCATCTTGGATGGGAGAGGGTGCTTGGAAAGGGCTCAAAATTAAATGGGAAACACCAGAGTATAAGGTCAAAGCTGCCAGGAATAAGAAAAATCGGGCATCTGCTAAGGGTGGATCTGTCCATACGGGTGGCTCCATATCCACAAATGAGCACATCATACGAATGGTATGTCATTCATTTTAAACACTTGATTCCTTAAACTTTAGCTCATAATTTATTTTTTCCTAACATTTGACATCAATTTTTTATAATGCATAAGCGTCGGGAATTAGGTAGAGAGCCCACATTAGATGAAGTCTTCTTAAGGACTCATACAAAAAAGAAGGACTCCTCATGGGTGGACGAAAGATCAAAGAAGACATATGTAAGTGTAATTACTAAATTTTGATGTATGCTTGGATAAAATCTTTAATACCATTTATTTGAAAAGGACAAGTTACATACAATTAATAGATTTTGGTCGAAATTCCTGTTTTTGCTACTTTCAACAAACAATTAAATGATTATTGTTCTGTTAGTTCGTATCGTGAAAATATTGTAATGTATATAATTTTAAGTATTTTTTTATCAGGAAACATTTCAAGAGAAGCTAAAACACGCCTCTCAAGTAGGAGAGACATCAAATAGTGGCCCTAAGGAAGTTGATTCTGCAACTCGACTAAATTTTTGGGCTGAAGCTGCCGGTGGAAAGACTAGAGGGCGTCTCTATGGTGCTGGTGACTTGTCTAAGCATTACAAGCCAGGTGTTTCCTCGTTAATAACCCAACAGTCACGTGTATCTACATGTAGCGGTCAAGTTTCTGCTGAGATTGCTGCACAAATGGCAACAATTGAAGAGAGAGCAAATGCTGCAGAGGAAGATGCTCGAGTTGCACGAGAGGAATGTCGCAAGGCAAATAAACGCACACAAGATTTGGAAAGACAATTGAGGGAATTAGCTGAAAGTGTTGCTTCTATCAAAGGTGACAAACGTCGTCGTCGTCATTCAGACTATGATGATGACTCCGACAGTGATGATGACTCTATTGGAAGCATTTAAGATCATATTATGCTTTACTTTTACTCATGAGAATACTTTGACAATCACATTATATTTTGATTGAACATGTTTTATGTTTTGTTTAAGCTTGTTTACATCAAACTTGTTGAATGGAATATTTTTTGAGATCTCATTGATATTAAGGTTTGAGTTTTTGTTTGAGATTTGTTTGTTGAAATGTTATATATAATTATGGTCATGATAAAAAAAGAGTTTTGTAGATTTATAATATAAAAAAATATTCATAAAAGAGTTTTTATTTATTAATAAGTTGTTATGAAAAAATATTTATAAGATGTTACGAAAAAATATTCATATTGTCTTCAAACAGGGAAAATATTAACAAAATAAGTCTATTGATGAAATATTGGTATTTTTGATTAAAAAAATTATAATACTACAGATGGCTTAACCGTCAGTAAAGTTATACCAAAAATTGAGTAACTTTACTGATGGCTTAGCCCTCGGTAAATTTACAGACGGCTTTGCCTTCGGTAAATTTACTGACGGCTTAACCGTGGATAATATAAGACAAAAAATTTGATATTTGATAACCTATTACCCGCAAACTATTCACGGTTTAGCCGTGGATAATATCATGGGTTTATATAGCCGTCGGTAGACGTTACCAAGGAGCGAAATACCGAGGGCCCCATAGTCGTTGGTAAGCCCTCGGTAATTTACTTTTCCCACGGCTTTTTCTTGTTACCGAGGGTTTTTGGCCCTGGGTATTGACAAATTTTCTTGTAGTGATGCCAACTACTATAATCTCAGTAGTCCTGCTACTCTACGACCAATTGAAAAAGTGTTGTATCCACTTTTAGTGTCAAATCTCCGTCCAAGAGAGGACAAATGGAAATACTTATTTGGGATGACAAGCATTTGTTGTTATTCCTTACCTAGAATATCAGAGTTAATCTTCCTCTTACCATTTTTAACTTCTTAATAGAAATGTTAATCATATCTAGGGAGGAAATGACTTTCCTCATTCCATATGGAAGAGTTCTTTCTGAACTTTTTTTTAGTTAGAGATACTTAATAGTGATACTATTAAAGTTGAGTGGAGTTAGAAATTTGAATATGTGAAATAGTTATTTGTTGTCCTATTTTTAATTAATGAAATATTTTCTTTCATATTATTACCTAATCGTTTTTATTGATGATTTTTTTTTTTAGAATTACTAATTAAGAAGAAAAAATAAAAATAAAATTAACTAAGAAAAAAGAGAAGATTGGAAGGCTCCAAGTGAGAAATTATTAAAAAAACCTTAAATGCAGTTATCGGGATTCGAAGTGTGTTCCCTTATAGCCATATTCCCTTGGTTTTCAGAAACACTGAGGTAATAGGTTTATTATTTTTTATGGAGAAAATATGGCGCTCACTTATAGCTATATTACCTCGATATTTTATAAATCCAAGGGAAAAGGTTTTTTTTTAAATAATTAAACATGTCGCTCCTAGAACCTATCCGCTCGGTTTTGGCATGTTCGTGGTGAAAGCTTTGTCATAAAAAGTGTTATTTGTCGTAGTGAATGCACACAAACCACAACATAAAACACATAAAACAATTATAGACTCACATGACAATTTATCCCCTTTTGACAACATCAAAAAGAGATAGATCAAAATGAGTCTACAAACCAGATAACCAACAAAAAATAAATAATTCCAAAATGCTAAGAAGAATATACATCAACAAAGATCGAATGCAGAACACGAAGATAGACATCCTATATGCAATAAAGTGCAAAACAAACATGCAAAAACATTCAACAACATACAATTAAGTGATCCAAACTACTAAGTATAGGAATTGAATAACAACATAAATAATGAATGAATAAGTATACAAATTATCAAATGCACATAATTATCAACACACATTTAAAATACTTAAATGCAAACAGGAACTATCAAAATATGCTAGAAAGGAATGAGTAAAATTAATAAGGTAATAAGCAAACCAATGAACATATACAAAACAAACACAATGATATAAAATTGGATACAGGAGTTATAGAGACACACCAATGTATTCGGTAAAAGTATGATTTGCTACAAAGTGATGTTAGCAAAAATAGAATATACATAGAAAATGAAAATTAAAAAAATTCTCATTCTATTTAAAGCACGAGGAATATAAGATTTCCAAATCCCTACATATCTTGTGAAAACGTTCCGATGACACTTATTTTGCTTGAGATGCCATGACGAAAGGTTCGTCCACATAAGCTAACTTGCTAAGATCAGCCAATGTAAATCCAAATTCATCGATTCTTACACCATTGTTGATATCAATCCATTTGCATTTAAGTACATGAACTTTAAACACAACATAATCAACTTCCCAAATCTCTTCAATCACCCCAAAGTAGGGCATAGATGCCATGACCGGGTTTTTATCTTTAGAACTAGAGAAGTTCATGGACTCGGCCACAATCATAACCCCACTATTTTGCTTGGTACTACGGTCATCCTTTGACTTTGTATAAAAGGAAGTTTTTTTAATATCATTCACTCCAAGTTATTAGGTTACATTTAGGCTCATAGGAGAACCACTTAGTTATATTAGAAGAATTATCAACATTAGTAATTTTTTCTTTAAACCACTAAGAGAAACTCTTATTATGCTCTTTTAACAACCCTTTTTCATTCATCTTGGGGGTACTTTTTCTTTATGATGCTTTTGTGAGCAGATAAGTAAGGTTGAGCTTCATCAGTGTTGTTCAATATATACAAATGCACTTGAACAACCACCTCAATACTTAAGCTCTTGACCTTTAAACCTTGTGTACCCATATACTCACATCTTCCATCATAACGAGACTTGGGAACCCCTACAACATCCACTTTTGACAAATAGTTTGAACAAACTCAATTGCTTCTTCTGCAATGTACCTCTCAATAATCGATGCTTCCGAACGGTGTGGGTTTTTTGTATACCTTTTTAGGATCTTCATGTATCGCTCTGTTAGATACATCCATCATAAATAAATTAGACCACATAATCTAATCTCCCTTACTAGATGAGCAATCAAGTGAACCATAATGTCAAAAAATGAAGGAGGAAAATACATCTCTAATTGGTACAAGATAACTGCAGCCTCATTTTCAAAATCTCCTAACTTTAATGGATCAATGGCTTTAAAAAAAATTGCATTGAAAAATAAGCACAACCTAGTTATAGTCTTCCTAACATTGTTAGATAATATCCCACGAATAGCCACTAGTAGTAGCTGTTGCATTAAGATATGACAATCATGAGATTTTAAGCCAATTAATTTGAGATCTTTAACTGATACAAGCCTCTTGATATTTTATGAGTAACCATGCGGCACTTTAATACTTTGTAAACACTCACAAAAACTTGTTTTCTCTTTTTTAGACAAAGTGTAGCAGGCAGGAGGCAAATATATCTTGTTACCTATATTTTGTGGAGTTAAGTCTTCTCGTCTACCCATCAAACCAAAATTCAGATGAGCATTATAACCATCTTTTGTCTTTCCTTGAATGTTGAGAAGTGTTCCGATTAAATTATCACATACATTTTTCTCCACGTGCATCACATCAAGACAATGTCTTACATCAAGACTCGACCAATATGGAAGATCGAAGAAAACCGACCTCTTTTTCCATATATTTTTCATAGTAGATTGCTTTTGATAAACTTCCTTTCCAGTTAAGGGCTTTGGAGAAACACCATGCTTTTGTTCCCCATTGAAAGCTTTCCGCAATCTACGATATGGATGATAACAGTTTAGAAAATTTTGATGCCCGAGATAAAGAATCTTCTTTCATTTTTCAAGTTGATGGTAACATGTGTCTTTTTCACATATAGGATAGGCTTTATGCCCTTTAACTTTATACCCAGACAAATTTCTATATGCCAGAAAATCGTTGATGGTGCAAAACAACATGACACGTGTAACACACCACTCTACCCTGTACGCGTATTATAGGAATATTAAAGAAAATACATCAGAGTTTTCAAAACACGTAGGATGTCACATAGACATTTTTCTCATTCAAAGAAGTATCAAGTCACTTCATGCTTTCCACAATATTTCAACAAGGTCATTTAGTAAAACAGCAGAATAAAATCAATGTTTAAACATAATCCCCACAATCGCTGGTTATACATCATTAATCCAACATATAAAAGATACGTAACAATTAATCAAGAAAATAAGAAAAATATAATGTAATCCCGTCATCCCATGTTACGTATCAGAGCGACTCCTAGGACTCGATCAAATAGCAACACACTCTAAGCAGTACTCAGGTACCTGGTCATCTGCACTCCACAAGGAGCACAGACGCAACAAACAGAAAAGGGGTGAGAACTATATTCAATAAATAAGCGGTGAAATACACATGCTAAAGAGTAGTTACACGCCACACATACAATCATACACATGCAATGCACATACACTTGTCATCTCAATCACTCGGCATTAATAGCCCATAATCAAATACAAATATGTAATGTGACTCACTGACTCGACACAATGGATGTGGTACCAACACAAATACATATGGTTCACCCTAGAACCCGATTCCCGTCGGAATCCGGATAAGTCATATACGTTCTTCTGAACTACAACTTATCTCTATAACGACTTCTACATGAAGTTCGGATGAACTAGGCATCCATCATGGATTCCCACCTAGTCATATCCACAAGACACATGACATGAAATGCATGACAACACCATTATGCAATTATAATAATAATTTCAAGCATTACTCACGATCATCAATGACCCACACGAGCCATCCGCTCACCATAATCCTCTCGGGAATTACCATCATCACACCAGATCGTCCACACGGGACAGTCCTGGCCCACACATATCAATCACACCCCTAAGGGCAAAAACATAATTTTCCATATTCTCTCTAATTAAATTCATTACTAATCTTCTTTAGGTTCATTTTAGTCATATTAATCCTACCGATCAAACGGAATTGCGTTCCAAGCGAAATCTGGACAGAAATC